GGAATTTTTTCATTAGAATTCAACATGAACATATGGCTTCCACATAGTCATGCTTTATTCAGATACTCTCATCTCTACCATTGAAGTAAAATAATAAGGGAGAGTTTCGCAACAAAGAGAATATTTATGGAAAAAATGAGGATTGAGGTAACCCCGGTAAGGAATTAAAGAAACTATAATTTTCAGCTATCCGCTTCAATGGTTTTCGCCTGATAAAATGGATCACAACCTGTTCTTCGATGTTCTTCATTAAGGGAAGTGGATCACCCAAAATAACAGGGTGTATGGTAAATGAGTCAATTCAAATTTCCTGAGGCAATGTGCACCAGGAATCACCCTAAAGTGGGAGAAGTGAATGGCAGAGGTACGTCCCACAATCCAGAGCTGGTGGGGTGGTTGTCAGCTTGTGTGTAAGGAATGGGAGTTGTATGGAAATTAAAAAATTTCTAGATGAAGTTCATCAAGTCTTCGTTCACGTTTTTGAAATTTGATGCCTCCTCCTCAAAAGCGATATTTGCTCAGCAAACGTTTTTGCATGAAATATCATGGCTCACCCTTTATATTAGGTGCTTCCACGCACTTATAATTCACGACTGAACATCTCATCCGCATGCCTTATTTGATTTGTACTTACTATTATTGCACGTTCTACAGGTTTCAATCTCATCTCGGAGTTCCCGGCTGGATTCCTTAGCGACTCGGAGAACTTTCAACAATTTCTTTGCTACTACTGTTCCTTCGGACCAACATTGTTGGCCAATTCTTTGGAATTCCACAGTGCAACCATCCAGTTTATAGAATTAGAAGGCAATTCCATCTCAACTCTTGAGGTGGATGCAATCACAGGTATGGTCTCTCCACTGCACCCACATGTAGTGATCATGGTGATCTTAATGCATGTCGCCACCACCTCATTCGGTGCAGCACTGTTTGTACATGTTCTTTCCGCTCGTGGATGCAAGAGAGATTCCCGTCTCCGTTCCAGGTTTCCAGTCAGACACAGTAATAAATTTCGATTTCAATGACATTCGGGAATTGACGGAGGAATCCTTCCGCCCCTTGCTGGAGGTGCTATCACAGGGAGATGGACACATCTTTTTGATAGGTGAGATCCTGCTTGCCCACAATGTCCTACGATTGAGCACTTCACCCTCCATTCCTCTGGCTGTCTGTTTTTGCAGGTAACCCCGTCCTGTGCGATTGCAGTATGGCCTGGGTGGTGCTGAATCCCGACTTCCTGGCAGATGTGAATGGTCACTGCACCGATGGAACTGATTTTCAAGACCTGGATCCGAGCATTTTTCAGGACTTCTGCATTAGGAGAGATCCTCCTACGGCAGGAGACTATTCCACTTGGATCAATTCCGGAATTCCAACAATAAATGGACCTTGAGTCCCAGAAATCCAAAATGGGCAATAATATCGGAAGCCTCTGAGTTGCAATCGATTTTGATATGCACTTAAGTTCAGAACGAATTAATGGATTGAATCTGTCCATGTGCTTTTGAGATATTCGCTTTGATCCTATGCTCTTCTTATTCCTGGATCTGCAGACTTTATTTTCTTACTTACAATTTTCAGGAAGTTGGAGGCAAATCGAATCTGCAGGTCTGTATGCATGCTTTTGCAAGATGTGAGCTCTCCATTATTTAAAAGGCCTTGATACTCTCCGTGATTTTCACCAGTTTCTGAAGTTCAAATATGACCCTGAAAAACGACTAATTTTATGGAGAATGAATTTTTGGGAGGACCAAATGATCCAGGATGTCATCTGGAATAGGAAACATCGAAAGACCCTTACATTTATTTTTCTGATCAACTGTTATTAAGAGTGAAAACGATATTCTGAAACAGGAAAGAGCACAAGGTACAACTTATTGGGGAAGCCTGTCTATGTTGGTTTCTCTAGCAGCACGTTACACACTCACACGACCGAAATTACGATCGACAATCTCGGAGAATTTAGAAAAACCATGATAATTTTGGAAATGTAGTACCTAAAAGCCAAAGTTAAGACGTTCTACCTCAACATATTCCCTGTAACCCCTGACATGTCCTAATTCGGCGCACCCCCACTTCCATTTTCTTACTCACGCACATACACATGCGTGGAAACGAAATTTTTGCTCGCTGGAGTATTATTCGCCCCTGGAGTATTGTAACATTTTGTTTCTTATCCGTGTTCGACCATTGCTAAATCCTCACATTGTCTCCCAATGAGAAACATTCACCTAATTGAACTTGAGCTAACCGTATTAAATATCACATCTTTAAATGCCACAGTAATAACTCCACAGCTCTCCTTTACGGTATTTACCATTTTAAATTAAATGTTTCATTACAGGGTTGCTAATTACTCCCATTAGGCGCTAATTATTCAGGCCTCACTGCATATTCATAATTATTTTTACTATTCATTTCACTTATACCTCCCCTTGTATTCATAGATTCTTTTTCTTTGTAGTCATTTGTGATGTGAAACTTTAGCAATTTTCCAGGCAGTCTCCTGGATCGATGAGACTCCGTCAGAGCGTTGATTTTGGGCACATGATGACATTCCCACAACGCGAATCCGCCAAGAAAGGGGGAAATGATGCTATTCGTCTGCGACGGTTTCGCACCGACAGCTAGCTCAGCAGCTCTGGTGAAAATTTCCGGGGGTTTCATTAGGCTTCGTGAAAACCGAAGTTGAAGGGTGGAAATATTTGCCCCGTATGGAAATGCGATTCTGAGTGATTCTTAGCCTACTTTCTTATGAAATAATTTTCGGCACGCAGTCGTTTATAGGAAATCGTCCAGTAAGGTGACTGGAGATTTTTCCCTGCACAGTAACTTGGGCGATGTTCCCATTGACATCCAGCTCCACGAGGCGGAAGGTCTTATCTGCTCCATTGCGAAATGGACGGAATGGAATCCAACGACGTGGAAATCCTGAGGGATTTCCTCGATCACAGAGGTGTGGAGTCAGAAATGCGTCTTACCCTCATCATTCAGACAGAGAGGCCGACTAATGTCGGCCTTTCTGTCTGAATGTCATCAAGTTTCACAGGAAGTTCCGTTAAGTCGCTGCTTGCTATCAACTTTTCTTCCACGATGCGAAATACTGGCGCAATTTTTGGGGGTAAACTCTTTACTAGACTCGATATCACCTACTCTCCACCGATAAACGTCTCCATCGTGCGTCATCACGCCATTGTACTGCGATCATGTGCCTCCAATGCATCGAGAAGGAAATACCCATTTCACTCGAAAAGAAGCTCCTAGTCTCCACAATCCTCCAAGCCAAGGCCCTCTCTCCAAGCCCTTTCCCAGGCTCGCTCTCCTTGGAGATGCAGGAATGCCTAGTCCTCCGCTTGCGTTTCGTCCTTTCTGGATTGTCTTCTCGGTGCACGCGGACAAGCGCCGCATCCCGATCCCAAGGGCATTTTTCTATGCACTTTGAATGCTATGAGTTCCATCTCGTAGCATTCTAAGGAGAAACGGCTCTCGAAATTCAAACAGACATGCTTTCAATCGATGATAGGAGATGCATTCACTCATCAGGGAAACCCCAATCGCCTATATGCAAATTTTCAGCTAGTTTCGCTCCTTGGCATTGAAGAGAGAGCGCCCTTCTAATTTGGAATGCTAGGGTAGAATAAGGGAAGATTTTGAGTTCGCCCGAGATGCGGATCGGGTCGAAAGGACCGATCTGATCCGGGCTTCGGGCGTGTAGCAAGGTCGGCGATTGAGTTTCTGGCCGAGTGCGGGCCATGTTGTGAGCACATAGCCCGGGAAGGCGTTGAGGACATGTGAGGAACATGCGAGGAACGTACGTGCTAAACGTCGGGGCTGTCACACTTAGTAAGTCCGTGGATGCTGGTCCAGCCGAAGGCCTTTCGTTTTCGGTCACTTCTTCCCATTAATCTAGTAAAGATGAAGTTCCAGTTCCTTCTTATTAGTAGTAAAGTAAAAGCAGATGCAATAAAAGCATATATCACAATTGAAGGCACTTCCTCTCAGGTGAGTTATGGGTAATCCTTGCCAAGTGAATACAGAGGAGAAGGGGCCCTCGACCTGATTTTGGCCAATTTCTTTATGTCCAATGGAAACAGATATACGAAAACTGTTTGCTAAAATATATCTGTCATCATCGCCATGGGCGATGACGACAGATCATCTAATCTCCCAGGAGAAGTGGACACAATCCGCGAACTTTGGAACTTACGTGCGAGGACCCTATAGTGAGTGTTCTCGCTGAAAATCGATGGGATGTGAAAACTGCAGATGATTAAAAAAATTTTTTTTGGTGCAAGAAAACCCCTAATTTTGACATTCAATGAAATAGTGCATACATATTTATTGAATGGACATCTGAACAGAAATAAACTAAAATAATCGATTCCGCTACAGTGACGATTCACAAAGTGTTGAAAGAAATTAAGGAAATGCATATCCCATTCTTGAAATTGACAAAATCAAAATATCCTACAGAAATTCGGCAAGTTTTTTCCGTGTTTCATTTTCTCATCAGTGTTAGCGAGCGCTACAGTGGATTTTAAACATCTAAATCAATGGTGTTCGGTCTTGTATTCGATACCGGTGACGTTTCGAAGTTCATTCATTTAGAATCAGAAGCTAGCCGGTGCACGCGTGAGGAATCATCCCGACGGAACAGTGAGAGCCGGCAAGAGGCATTTCTCTATATTTACAAATATTGGGATTGGAATTTCATGCATATCGGAATCATTCAAATAGGATTTTTTTTCATTCAGATGACGGGACCGAGACGAATGAATGCGAAAATATCACGCCGTTGTCGTACCGCTTATAGAAAATAGTAAGCGCACCTGATTTCTCTCCGTTAACAATGCCGATACGTTGAACAGTCGAGAAACAATTATGCTGCTGGTGTGTTGCCGCTAATGTTCATCCATTTGTGAAAGTGCTGCACACGTATCTGACTGAGCTGAAAACTCCCCTATCCCCAGTTAGCGATCGTGGACTGAACCCAGGAAAAGAAGGCAGAGGCCTTGCCGTAACCGCTTGGGATCACTGCACAACCTCCCAAGACGTAGGAGGCAATCCCGCTCACGAAGGCTCGACCTTCTGCGTATTGCACCACCAGGGGTCCGCCACTATCTCCCTGTTTTGGGGAAACCCCCAAACTCATCAGCCCAACCTCATTTATTCGAGTGTTAATCACTTGGTTTCCCCTCTACCCGTCTGTGATCTCCCACACATGCAACCCCACCCATCAGATGAGGAACAAGTACTATTTTTATGAATTCTTTCTTAGGATTTTGCAAGGCAAAGACGTTTGGCATTAATTTCTTAGTTTTCGAAGGAGCACATAGTTTTGGAAGGCTCGTGGTTTGGTGAGTATCCAAACTATCATCGAAAGCAACAGCTCTAAAGTCAACGATTCGGTCTAGGATGGGGGAGCGAAGAAAAAACACTTTCATTTAATGCCTGAAAATAAAGGGAAATGTCTCGCAATACAGTGTCCCTGCAAAGTAATTAAAGGATGACCTTTTTCGCAGAAGAATACACTTTATTATTGGAATCAACATCTTTTAAGTCATTGACAGGAAAGTGACCACGTTCTTCTTTCTTGTAGCGTGATTCTCACATCTGCAAGGGACATGCTGTTGGTCCTTGCTCTCACTAATGAACTGTGCTTGATGTAATAAAAGATCGGGAGACGCTACTTAATAATTATTTAACCTCTTATAGCATCAGCCAGGCTAAACCGCTGGCATATCTTGTACTTCTAAGAATACTTGTTAGGTGATAATCAATATATTCATGTTTAGAACATGTGGATATATCTGAGTCTGTCTCATTCCACCGACAGCTTATAATCCCATCACCGAGTTCCAGCATGGATTATTGAACGAATTCGAGAAGATAGAAGCATTTTCTTGCTTTAACTGCGCCCTTGGACCAACTTTGAAGACTGGGTCTTTGGAATTTCGCAGTCAACACGTAAGATCCGTTTATCTCGAAGGGAATTGCACGCAATCACTGGTATGGTTTCTCCTACATCGAGTCTCTGCGGGAGTCATTTCCATTGCCACAATCTCTTACGGAGGTGAATGTAGTTACTGCGAAAAGTATTTCAGTCAGTTAGGACCACACTGTTTCCTGCTTTCATTCCCGAATTAAATGCTGAAACGATAATATCTCTCGTGGACAACGAAATAAGGGAATTAGAGGAGGAGATTTTCCGTCCGGAGGTCCTCGCAATGGGCCACGGGCTTATCGATGTCTCTGGTAAGTCACAAGACACCCGCAACGTTCTTCGATAAAGTCTACAACGTTCCGATTCCATGCATTCCAGGAAACCCCGTGGAGTGTGACTGCAGCATGGCCTGGATAGTGCTTAATGCAGATTTCCTGGCAAGCGTGTTAGGTCAATGCCCCGATGGAACTGTTTTCCAAGATCTGGATCAGAATGACTTTCTAGACTGCATTCGGTTGACAGACGAAATCTCTATCCGAATGGATTTCGATTAGAGTCCTTCAATAAATTGACTAAATTGATTAAATCTCTATGCCGATCATGACACAGCGGAAAACCTTCGTACATAATTAGGGCTCAATCCAACTCAGCGCTTCTTTAATCATGTAATCCGTCCCGGAATGGGCTCTCTGTGCCATGCACTTCATCTTTGATAACTAACAGCAAGAGAAAATCAGTTTTGCGTTAAATCACATGATCTTGGTGGCCACTCGACCAACATTCTCCTATCGACAAATCTGCTTGTAAAATTTTCGTCAATTCAGCGGCGGACTCTTGTGCCTCGGTAGGCATGGGCCCATCATGCATTAGTCACAATGTGCCGTTATTAAAAAATGCTAAACATGCGGCCGTAATTTATTTTTCTTCAGCACACTGAGATACGTTTAAGTGTCCACTGTGCTATCGAAAAAGAACGGTCAAATCACTGCCAAAACTGTGATATCTGACTTTGAGTTCTCTTCAATCCGAATTCAAGAGTCTCCATTGCCCAATTAACTCCATTTACGCGATTAACGCGACAATCAAGCTTGAAGTTGAGACCAGAGCATTTTTTTCGATTGGTGTCTGAATGGTCGATTTGGCTCAATTACAACAGAAACACGCCGACTTTCGAGGATTTCGCTCGACGGCTTCAACTCTTGCAATTTTATCGCCAGGCCTAGAACTACATTTAAAAAAATCGGTAAATCGAAATGAAATACTTCTCTCAGTTTTCGCTTTTCGATTAATTTTTCTCAAGAGAAAAAGACATGAACTGGATTTTCGATTTATATCTCTCGCTTCCCGACCGTGCAGGGTCGCCTGAATGGCGTTCGAAAAACCAAAATGCTTCAATACCCGAGTCGGAAGGGTGTTTTGAGTGGCTGCGCATCGTCTAGACACATGTTAACCTCCATATTCCACTTCATAGTGCCGAGGAAGCCCCTCCCCTCCTTCCCCTCCATGAACCCTCGGGGCAATGCATTGACAGCCAAGGGATTCACACGCAACCGCTTGAGTGCATGGCCTCTTCGCCACTTCACTTTCCCTCCGACCCGTGCGAGTGGCTCGTTCGTCTCGAAGGGATTCCCATGTAACCGCTTACTTCGTTCTTCGAGTCCAGTTTCAGACGGTGTTTGTATTCCGTTTGGTGCGTTGGTGGTGCAACACATATCGCCGACATGAGATTTGACTGTTAACTATGGATATTTAACAGTCCTTTAAGAATACACGGATTCCTATGGGAAAAAAAGAGCCCCTTCGCTAAAAGCTCCGTTGTCTCCCTTAAATGAAGTTCGTGTATTCGGGCTTTAAGCTCAAAAGCCACTATATTCCCACAATAGGACATGCAAGGCAAATTTCGATGTGGCTGAAGTTCATCACGAAATGTTCTATGCGGCAGAAGCCCATAATATCCCTGACCTATACACGTGAATTTGTTTCATATTTGACCTACATAGAGCAGGAAAGTACAGTGAGACGTTTTTCTTGTTTCAACAGTTTGTCTTGAGAAACTCAAGGAATGACTTTTAAGTGGTAAACGTGGGAACTAGAGAGGCTTTTACCTTTTACCCTTTTACCCAGCTATTCCTACTGCCCCATGCCATCGTGCAAGGCCATTTATATAGAAATAAAAACAGGGAATGATACTACGAGGAGATAATGAAAGCCTTTCTTGTTATTAGAGCCCAGCATTGGACTTCTCTTAAGCATTTACTCAGCTTATGGATCTAACTTCCATGAAATTCCAGAAGAGCGCCGGGAACACATCATTCTTTGTCCAGTAGAAGCTTAGCATTAAAAAATTGGTCTTAGTGAGAGCATAGACGCAAATATTAATAGTCCTGGGTCTGTCTGTCATCCCCTGACATAAAGGAATAGTGGACATCCTAGTCATTCATATCGCCAGTCGCTTCTTCTTAGACACCAGTTCCTCACTTGAACACCATCTGCTCATTGTCATGGCAAAGCGTTTCTTTGGCAAATATTTGGTAGATTGGTAGGCCTAATTAATCCTCGAAAATTCGTTGAATCTGCAATCGTTGATGGCAGATTCTTGAGGGATCTGCAACCTTGGTCGACCTAGACAACACTTCGAAGTATCCTGAAGTCCCTGGCGGAAGCATCCACACAATTGCAGCAGCCAAAAACCATACATAAGAAGCTCTCCCATCTTGAGGAATGCTTCCGACGATCTCATCATTCTCGCCAGCTTCGTTGCGAGAAACAGGAAAGCCTTTCCCCCTTCCATTTCACTTACGGGAAAAGTGAAGCGACAGTGTCAATATACTGTAGGTCGGTGTTCTACAGTAAATGCGCGAGGCTTCTCTCTTTAGTCATACGGGAATTTCAATTCTCTGTTTGAAGAAGCGGTTCGGTAGGGGGGGGGGTTGCATTTTCATGGTGGTTTAAGAAAAAGCCGAAGTCAAGCCTTGGTGAAAGGGGTGACTTTTGCTTTAACAGATGACAGAAATGAAGACTAATGTTTCATGGGGCATATCGGGCGAGTTTTCTTTCTTTTACTAATTAATAACTAAATAGACTCAATACATGAAGTACGAGATAGCACCTCTTGGTAGAGAAGCTTTGTGGCAGCATCTGAGTTACTTCCCGTTACTAATTATTTTCAATACACTTCTATGGCAGTATTATCAATCTCCAAGATGACGTCACAGAACGACACTGGGGCTTTCCCCCTTGCAGTCACCTTTCGCCCCCCCCCCCCCACCCCAACCCGGATTGGGGGTGGAGATATCCAACTGTGTTAGATAGTATCGATTACTATCCTGACTGATATTCACGAACCACAGACTGCGCGTTAGGTCAAAAAATTCCGCTCATCACTGGATGGAATGACACGGGAGGCTAGAGAGAAGACCCACATCAACTGCGCACTAATGCAGCATATGAATAATGGGGACTCAGACGGAGTGGAACGCTATCTTATCAATGCTTTCAATAAAAATGTTTTCTTCGATTCGAGCCAGAAGTTAGAGGCCAGCATGCAGGTCACAGAGGAAAGTTAGTACATTTTTGCGCTAACGACAGGCAACGAAGTTGCCTCCCAAGGATCAGAAAGAGAATTTCAGTCAGAAATGATTAATAATATATCGAATCTTCTGTCTCTACCTTTCTCCTCAATCGATCCTGGTAATATTTTCATGAGTTATGGACAAGACATGTGTGAACCATTTAGGTACTATAGGAACAAAAAAATCTACCCCCTTGGATCGAAATTCCACTTTATAAGTGTTGCAAGGAACCTCGAGAAGGGGCCTTGGAGCCGATTGCTGACTCTCTAAGGTCACGTCATGATTTGCGGTCAAAGGTCATGATTTACATGCCTCTCTTGGAAAATCTGTATCTCCCCAACCCTTGGTCACAGAAACGTCAAATTTCACTGCAGAATATCGAGCAAAATATGTATTACTCTGACGGGGTTGAATTAATCCTCATTCGTTGCAGTGAATCTAACGCCAAGTGGAAAATCCCTCATTTTATCAATGATTCGCAGCCTACACTAATCTGCTTGTGAGATTAAGCCTTCTTTGCATCATTCTCAAGATGTTCTACCTTGAAGAATATTGGCAGGAGCCAGAATAATGCCTAGTCGGATTTTTTCTTCCTATGTGAATGAGTATTATCTATCCCCCATAGGAAATGAATGGAGTGTCTTTTTTTAAACACCCTATATATTTCAATTAACACCCTCCTCACCATTGGGAGAGAAGGTGAGGATGGTGCTAATGGTAATTTCCGCCCCAATACGTCATTAAATTTTACGTACTCCAATGAGGAAGTCCGAATATTATTTTGGCAGGAGGCATTCCTAAAATAAATATATCAAGTTGAAGCTAAATAAAAGTTAATGTAACGCATAATTCACAGTAGCTCTTGGCGCTGTCTCTCTCGCAATAGGAGAACTGGAGCAAGTCTATCAATATGTTATAATTTCTCCTCAAAACGCAACATTCCGTTTTAAATTTCAATCTGCCGGTCGTTGGCATTTACCAACTGATAAAAACCCTCATCAGGGACCAGTTTCAGCCTGTCGTCAGGCGATAGTCACTCGACCTCGGCTCCTTTCCAACAGGCACATCTGACTCAAGATACATAGACTATATCAGATACAGGGCGTTTCATTTAAATTGTACATCTTTGAACGCTCATATCAACCATGGAAATATTTAATTATGTGTTTCATAGGCTTGCGTGACATTGTTGTATATCTTTCCGGTTACACTTATTTATTCTCTTTTTATTTCCATTTTATTGCACGCCCTGCAGGTAGTAATCCAATCTCAGAGGTCCCGGCTGGATTCTTCAGCGGCCTGGGGAACTTAGAGGAATTTTATTTTCAGGAAGTTCCAATCGGATCAACATTGATAAACGGATCATTGGAATTCCTCGGTGCACCCATATCAATAATTGATATAGGTCGTAACTCCATCTCAACTCTGGAATCCCATGCAATCACAGGTATGGCCACTCCTCTGTGCCCACTTTGAGTGACGATGAAAATCCTCTTTTTTAAAGCCACATACCATGGGGTGCAGGGCACTTACTGCGATACGTTCTTTCGGCAGTGGCTGCAATGGAGTTTCCCGTCTTCTTTCCAGGTTTGGAATCTAACACAGAGTTAGATATTCGAGATAATGAAATCAGGGAATTGACGGAGGAATCCTTTCGCCCCATGCTGGATCTGTTCTCTCTGGTGGAAGGGATTATCAATTTACATGGTGAGATTCTTCTTACCACAATACTCAATGATGCAGTTTTTCGCACTCCCTTCCTTTGGTTATTTGTATCGCAGGCAACCCCGTGGAGCGTGACTGCAGCATGGCTTGGATAGTGTTGAATCCGGTCTTCCTGGAAAGTGTCCTGGGTATATGCACCGATGGAACTTATTTCAAAATCTGGATCCAGACATTTTTGAAGACTTTTGTCTCAGGAGAGATCCTCCCATGGCAGGCGATTATTCCACTTGGATTGGTTCCGAAAAGATTCCAGCAATAAATGGAATTTGATTCCCAGGATTACTGGGATAATGAATGGATCTTGCAATTCACCAGCCGGTAGGCTGATGGCAGATTTTTTTCCTCATGCCCATCGGCCCGTGCCGGAGTCGGTGTCGTATGATGTTTTTCTCCCAATAATATCCCCCCTTCCTTATTGGAAGTCATAGAACTTCGCCTCGTTCCTTGGCGGACGATTTCAGTGCCTTTTAGTTTTCCTTTTACAATGGTATCTATTTGATTTATTTGTTTTAATCCCTCTTTCCTTGTTATTGCCAGTGATGAATTTGTCTTGTAATGCATTTTGGCACAGGCTGCTTTTTGTCCACCAACACATTGCAAAGAAAATGTTTTGTCATCAGTTTATCGCCAGTTCCAGGGCTTTCAAAAATGTTCCTCGAAAATCGAGAGCAGTTTTGCCTGATTTCGAAATGGAATGGGCATCTGAAAAATGATTGTGTAAAAAGGCATTTCAGACGAGAAATTCCAGAGACCTTCGCAACCTATCCGAACTATTGAATACTAGCGAAACTCGCTATGGTCGCGCCTTCTGCGCTTCATTACCTTGGATAGTGATTAATTCATTCATTTTTTGCGAAATAGGAAACACATTTAAAATACGTCTCCATTGAACTACGTGACATATGGGGTCGAAAGTCTTGATTTTTACCAAACTCTTCACTTCTATGACTCTGTGTGCTTAACTTTTAATCTTTTCTTGTGTCCATTTTAGTAAGGGTGGAGAATACATTTTGAAATACTTTCCTCCAATAATCTACGCTAAGAAGACATACTTAAAAAGTAGGACTTTTCCTGTAATCAGCCATTAAACAGGAACTTCTGAAGGAAGGTTTATATTTTCTGTATATGTTTCGTTGCATAAAAAAAAGAATGAATGAGAAACGTTTCCTCCCCAAAATGTGTACCCCCACGGCATGTACCACCAAAGTCGGATTTTTATAACTCTGTATCCCAAAAGGTACATCTATAAAAAGTTTCAGATTTGTAACCCTTTTGGAACATGGTTAGAATTAGCGTCAGTCGGTCAGTCAGTCACCATCGTCTATATATCTAATTAGCGAGTTTGTTTGCCTGAAGGGCAAACAAGCTCGCTATGGACGCGCCTTCTGCGCTCTGCGATCTAAGGCTTCTGTTTCCGATGCTCACCTCTACTAATGCGGTCAAACTCATTTGTTCATGGGGTCAATTCTCGCTCCTTTAAAGGTGTCAAAGAAAATATTCGTAAAGATGCCATGTCATTTGTAGCATAAGGATCACGAATTAACATTTGTAAGTGTGCCGTTTAGCATTCCATTGGTGGATTCAATTCCTGTCTGTGGTCGAGGCACTCTTGATAGCAAATCAATCTCCAAAAAATTAGGAGTAATAGCAGCCATATGACCAAATAAGCCACTTGAGAGTTTCAACGCTAAGATGGCTAATATTAAAGATAAAGAGTTCAGGAAAAATGCAATACATTAGATCCATGCCCTTGGGGCATATTACGAGGAGCCGATGTTTTCAAGTATTTTTTTTGTCCTGGCGTATTGAGC